AACCTCTCTGACAGCCGCTTGACTCGCCACCAAAGCTGACTCATCTGAATGAAGAAAGGACACTTCATCAACAAATATGCTTCTTGTATCACACTTAATTTACCCTCGACATTTTTAATAGCATGCATCAATCAACAGAACATGTTCCAGTTTGTAAAGCCTGAATAAAACACTCTTGATGTGTAAATGCATCTCAGTGGGCTCGTGCGGCCAACGACCTAAATCTCATGCCAATATCTGCCGAAGCTGGAACGAGAAAACAGCAAAAGATAAAGAGCAGAGCAAAGTAGGACAGTGCACAAAAAAGTGCAAATGACACTGCACGGCTGGCAGACATATGAAGCCAGATCAAATGGAAGGAGTGAAAAGAGGAAGCACAAGGTAGGCGGGTGAGGAGGCACTGGTGAAAACGGGCAAAAAACACACACATCAAGACATGGAGCAGAGGGCTGAAAAATCCCTAAATCACACAGTGACAGATCCGTAAGATCTGGTGACCCAGTTTCTCCTCTTCTTGTTCCCGGTGCTCTGCTCTGGGCAGAATGAAGTGGAGTGCAGCTAGAAATAGCACTATGCACAAACATATCTCATGAGAGTAGTGAAACACCTTTGCACAAATTAGTCAAAAAACGCAGAACTAACACGATCATGCCTGTGGCTGCATGTGGTTGGTGAAAGCTGAAAGCAGTAGAAATTAAAGGAAACAACTGCACGCAAATGCACATTAGGAAAATGGATAAAGGTGTTCTGAAGTTTCTATTCCACAAAGCTAATGGAACAGCCTCAGAATCCTGGGGGCTGGAGGGTATCCAGGCTGTGCATCCTGAACAGGCCCATCACATGGCCAGACACATCCATGCTCTCATTCACACCTATAACCAATTTAGGCACAGGGGGAGCACACAAACTCCACACAGCTGCCTGAGTACACCACTTCTGCAGCTCATAATGACATAATTATGAGCTGCAGAAGTGGCATTCATCTCATAATTACACAGGACTGATGAGGACAAGTGAAAACTAGACAGGCGACCGGCCAAACCGGCACTCACAACATCACACACACACATCGAGACAGATGCTCTGCTACACTCCCCCGCCCCCAATCATCAAATTACATCTCCCTGCAACCGTCATCTCTCCACCTACGTCAATGTCTTGGCACAGATTTTCAGGAAGGCAATAATCTAATAGTTTGCAGTGAAAACTAATTTCACAATGACTTTCAAAGCCTCCTGAAACACCAGCTAAATATAGGGTGATTGCACAGTGTTGTCATGGATGACTCATGCCACTTTGCCAAAGCCTAAATCAGCTTGTGGCAATGCAGCAACTGGGAATGAGCCAGTGTGTCGCTTTCACACACACACACACACACACTCCAGAATATGTTTTAGTTGAAAACAAAACAAACAAACAAAAAACAAACAAACCCAGAAATAAATTTGCTTTGCCTGTTTTTAATACCACCACAAAGACACAAGTAGAATATTGCTATTAGTATTATTATTATTGATTTTAGTTGTACTAGTAAATATTATTATTTGAGTAATTAAAGACGTTTCAGTGTGATCAGGATCACGTTGATTTACCGGTAACAGCTGAATTTCTATGTCCAAAATGATAATGTTATGTTTGGTTTTGCCATGTTCTGGTAAGTAAACAGTTAGAAAATGACTTTATTTATAGTATGTAAATCAGTTAAAACATGCCATGTTAAAATAAACACAAATGATCTGCATATTATCCATATTAAAGTCTGTGCTCACTGCTGTGCATACGCAATGGAGATGATCAGCACCTTGCACTTACACTAACACCTCGCTGGTTCCCAGTGGGCCACAGACAAGACAGAAAGGCAGATCATCAGTCCTACTGACTGCACCCGGGGAAAGATTTCAAAACATGCATTGTACTTCGACATCAATCGAATAGGCAGTCTTTGTGACAAGAATTAAGACTTCAGGCCAGGAAAGCTGTCTGAAACATACTGTAACACACCAGGGCACCGAGGCTGTGTTCAGCCAGATGAAGTGAACACAACAGGACTCAGCAGTGGTTACAAGTCATTTTTATAGTGTTAAGAGCAGATTAAAGAAAATACACAAAGGACGAGAAGTCAAGCTTCCCAGCTTTCAACCCTTCGTATTAGTGCACACAGCCGTGCTATACATGCAATATCAGACAGGTGAAAAATTCAGGCGGGATAACAGTTAGCACACAAATGCTGATTTATGACAAGGTGTTTGAGCCATTCTGTTATGAGTGTTAGGAAAGACACAATAAAAGCGGAAAATTACAGCCGCTGATCGGCGCTCATGACTCCGTGCTGCCGCTTTGCTTACCTCCTCTGCAGTTGTTTGATGTGCGCCGATTTGAATCCAGGCATCAACTTAGCTCATCGTCTCGAATCCAATCTCGAGCCTTTCGGGAGTATAAAAAGTTACCGAGCCAAGCTATTGCATTCAAACGAGGGAAAGCCACGTATGTAATCACTGCATCTTTCTTTCAATTCCGGAAACTGCCTTCTTCTGCGGGAAGAGTCGACAGCTGAGCTTTAATGACGCCGACCTCAGCTGCTAACCAGTGTTAGCGAGCCCTTTTCTAGCCTAACACAAACTTAGCAGTTACTTCTTCCAGTAGAGACAAACCAAAGACGTATAACACGGTTTTAGAAAGCTTTAAATAAAACACGACGCTGAGGTGTAAACTGAGAAAATAACTGGTATTAGCTTGCCATTTCCAATCCAATGCTAATGGGCTACTAACGCCGTTATTTCACCCACATCAGCAGCAGTTCTCTGTATCAACAGCAGCGACTCCGCTCAGCGCATGCGCAGTCACGCCTTTGTCGTTATCCGTGCTTGGCCATTGAACATAACGCAACTTTCTATCCACACCCAGCACCCGCTAACAAAATGATGAAAAGTCAGAAATTGTGAGCAACGTTATTAATTTTTATTACTTCATAAAATATACACAAATACTGTAAATAAAGAGTGTTTAAGAACTGTACATGATATCAGTACACAATACATAAAGTGAAATCCCCCCCAAATAGGCTCATTCTCCATACCATCCCCAACCCAACAGTTACAATGCCACTGGGTCATGGTGGCCTGTACAAAGGTAATTACACACAGTACACTGCTATTTACAAATCCCTGCAAATTGCATCAGTTAAGCTTTCTTCTTAATGACATCGTCAAGGTTTCTGGAAGTTAAAAAAAAAAAATAAAAAAAAAAAATCCAAAAGGTGACATCACACTATTGGCATTTTATTTTTGCAGGATACTGAAAGCCCTAAGTATTGAATAATGATGAAGGTGGACAGGCTTTGAACAACTGAGAAACAAAGGCATTCAAAAAACATAGAAGGTACGTCCAATAAATTACAGGATGATGAGTGACAGTTTAACATAAATACAGTTATTTAAAAAGAACTGCATACAAACTAAGACAAAGGGAATTTATTTTTCTTTGCAGGGATTCACTGTATCACGCTTCCTTTCACACATACACAAAATGTTGGATGACCCAGCTGGCACAGCAACAGTAATCCATCCCACAATTTAGCATTTTAAATACCCAAACTTCAAATGCCTATTTCTGTTGTTAGTTTCCATTTTTCTACTTTACACTTTAAAACAAAAATTACCACATTTGGCTTTACATTGAAATAAAAAAATATTTACAGTGGAGTAAACAAACTTGGGTGTGGGGAAAAAAAAAAAAAAAAAAAGTATAGTTATAGTATATTACTGGATGCCCCCCCTCCCAGACCGCACCCTGAAATGTGATCCCAAATGTTGAAGGAGCCTGCCCAGTACCCCCTATTACCTTCAATAATAAAAGAATAAAAAAGGTAATGTTAAGAACTATCATAAAAATTGCAGCCACTTTTTGTTAGCCAAAGTGGGCAGCTGTGGTCTCTGGTCGAATATAATCAGTTTGCTGAAAATTTCCTGAGGAGCTTCCCTCAAGACTTCAGAGTTCTGTCTTTATTTTTTTGTCATCTACTGTCATTCTTTACCATTTCCACTAACATTTTTAAAAGAAAAAAAAGATTCAAAACAGGCAAGTAAGGGGTGGCGAAGACTTCCATGGCTACGTTTTGAGGGGCAGCAAGTAATCACAAAAGGGATGAAGGACAAGCAATCACCAAATGCTACTTCACCAGAAACATTACAGCAGCTAAAAACATCACTTACTATTCCTTTTTCAAAGTTACTCTTCATTTTGCCTTCTATCACCTGACCTACATGTCTCCATTTATTTATATTTAAGAGGTTATTAAAAACAAACAGTAAAGGGGACCTATTATGCTTCATTTTCTTCCATAGTCTGTATGTAGTTTCCCTGTATAAGTAATCCATGAGCTAAATGTTTTGGCTTCAGACTGCTCTGAATGCCCAATTTCAGACAGTTTCTCTCTAGTCTTGGCTCTTTGTGATGTCATAGAGAGGGGATATCCTAATAAAGTTGTTATGTTTGGCAGAAACAGAAAAGTTGACTTAGAGGGGGAAGCCGTTCCAGGAAGAGATGAACAAAGAGGCTGCAAGACCCAGTGTAAGACAAACATGGATTATTATAAACTGTGAATCATGCAAAGCTACTTCTATTAGTAGGCTCAAAGAATTCAAATATGGAGCAGGAAACGAGCATAAGAGGCCCCCTTTAAGAACAGGAAAGTACTCCAATGTCATTATGAAAATCAAAAGATGTTTTTGCTGTGTCTAAATTGAAAAATACATTTTTTTGGGGGAAAATAATGTCAGCCTATAATCAACCTTTGATTAAACACATGCATGTCCCGGATACCCTTCTGCTCCTTTGATGCCAACAGTTCTTCACATTTTCAGAATGCTGAGGGAATGTTTTGAGGAAGAGGAGGGCAGGTATGAGCAACTGTCAAGGTGCAGCTTTGTCATTTGTATTGTGGTAGTGATAATCCAGGGTTCAGTAAAGAAAGTTCATGGAGAAGGAAGGAAGAAGCAGAAGAAAAAAAAAAAATTGCTGGATACCTTCGTGTATTTTCCTGGATCCTGAAAGAGTTACTGTCCTTTTCCAAAGACCCATGTGTCCATTTGCAATCATCTTTTCTTAGAACAAAGTAAGAATGAAGGAAAATAAACTGTAGCAACAACTATACCTTGAAGCCCTGAAACAAGAGATGTATTGTCATTAAAGAAGAAATTTACAGATAAATAGCAAATATTTAAAAAAACTAAACAAAACAAAAACCACGCTACACCTCACCTGTCAGTTTTACTTGCATGCAGAGCTGGAAAATTCTATTTTCCCATGTGCTCAAATGGCACGCTGACCTGCAGAGGACAGTACAGATTCAAGATAAAGAGTCAGCAATTACAGTTCTCTTTCACACACACTACACTCACACACACACACACAAACACACACACACACACCACACACACACACACACACACACACACACACACACACACACACCCACACCACACACACACACACACACAAACACACACACACACCCTAACCCCATTAGATACAGTTCAAACAACACTGATAACTTTGCAAGCTAATTACAATGTTAATGCTTTCGTATTTTTTTAAATCTCGTTCTGTCCTTGCTGTTCTTCTTCGTTAGTATTGAGTGCAGTCTTGGCAGACAGTATAGGCGATACTACACCATAGCGTCCTGTAGTGTATTGCAGTTACAAAAACATATTGCAGCCCTACATACCATGTATTAATTTATCCTCTCTCAATTACATCAGTCATCTATCTGCCTGTCCTACCCCCAAAGTCTAACCTTCTGTCACCCTTGTATGCCGTTTTTTTTCTTCTGTTGTTAAGTAGGAGGGGCTAAAATGTCTCTCTCAATGTCGAAGTTTGGCGACTCCAGTTTAGACGAATCAATGCTGTACAAAGTGGCATTATATATATTATTTAAATAATCAGGCCTGAGTCAAAAGCTCAAGCTTCAGACTACTTTAAACACTCTGCTATCTACTCTTAGAGGTTTATGATGCCAGAGCTAAGCCTAAAAGAAGAAATCTTTAACCGAACGGAACTAAAATGGCTAATTACAGACTGTGGATGAACACAGATGTTGCAAAAAGTCCCAGTATAAGAATCAAACAGAGCTACTTTAGTAGGGCTCAAGAATAAAAATGTAGAGGTAAAAAAAGAAGCAAAACAAATTATTATCATCACCAGCCTTGTGGGTTACCTGATCAACCCCAGGGCCTTTTCTCACCTGTGACGTAGAAATTCTCGATTGGTCGTGGCGGGCTGTGAGGTCAGAGGATGATACGTTGGCAGGAGCACCACGGTGGAGCCGCATGCTCACCTTCCTCTCTCGCTCTGCACGAGAAATTGCACGTGGTGACGTGTTACCTAAAACACAATAAAAAAAAACAAAAAACGCCTAGATTAGATAAAAATATTCAAGAAAAAAGAAAAATACTCTGGTGTCCGTCTTATTCTGTTTCCTCTTTTTTTCTTGTAATGCAGCAGTTGGCTGAAAACTCACCAGACTGCTGGACCCGAGAGGCAGGGTTAGAAATGGCTTGCTCAGGGCCGTTCCTGACTCTGTTGGGAGCTCCAGGATTTGGACCTGGAGGGAGGCCTCGCGATGCAGACCCCCTAGGGACTCCTCCGATCCGCTCATCTCTCTCATCCGCAGTCCTCCTCTCCCTATCCCCATCCTCAGCTGTCCGACTGGCACCCTTTTAGATGAGATAAGCCACATTCAAGCCCAACTACTGACAGGTAGCCGTATTATAATGTGGTGAAAATACAAATCAAAGTTCAAGTTAGAAACTGTAGATATAAACTTACAAATTTGAGCATGTTCCAGTCAAAGACATAATCGTAAGAGAAGCCCTGTCGGTGGAACAGATTCCTGAAGAGCTGTCGAAGGTAGGAGTAGTCTGGTTTGTCATCAAAACGGAGTGAGCGGCAAAAGTTCAGGTATGTGGAGAACTCAGCTGTAAGAGGGTAAATAAAAATAATGAGAGTAGAACAGAAAGTTCACTGTAGCGGTAAACTTTGTGTGATTAGATAATTGTTAGCATTCAATTTCATACTGAGAAAATACAATACAACATCTTAAAATAATTTCAGAGGTATGTGTAGTACGCAGAGGCGCCCTGTGAGCCTCACTTACATGGGTATCCTTTGCAAAGAACTTCAATGGGTGTGGACATTTTCTTCTCGCTGATCCGTTCATATTTCTGTCTCTTTGTGGCAGCCTTGAGGCCCTGCCACGGGAGTGATCCCAGGTTGAAGTACATGAGGACGTAGCCAAGAGACTCCAGGTCATCACGTCTGGACTGCTCTGTAGACAGAACGCATGAGAGAGAGGGAGAAAGATCATTAGTCATCATAACAATCATTACAAAAAGGCCTGTAAATTTGTTTAAAGAGCATCAGAATGAAATTACAAAGCAACGTGAACCCTTCCCCCCTATCCCCACAGTCCCAGATAACTCTTCCTTCATACAGCCTGTATATATATCAGATACAGTGATGATAAAACGATGCCGCAGCGAAGAGGCACATCCAAAATTAAATGGCTGAATAAGAGGGACTTTTCACTAAACAGAAAACAGAGCTAGAGTCAGTAAATTTCTACACAGAAGAAATATTAAGCACAAGGAAGAACTTCAAACAACATAAATTTTTTTTGGTGCTTTAACTCAATCATGTTACGATTTGGTGAAAGGGAAAAGATCACAGTAATTTGTATGATTCCAAGTATTCCACAAATCCAGGTATGTGCTAGAGGGTTTAAAAAGAGATGAGTGCCATAGAGTGGCTCTAAAGAATCACATTTAAAGTAATGTTTAGATGAAATCTCTACATCTGCTGTGGAGCTGATGAGATTTCTTTGAGTCACAAGTCTAAGGCTACTGAGATCACATCTTCATTAACACAGTCACACCAGTTCAATGAAATGTAAACCTTATGACAGAGAGAGTGCACTTGCTGTCAGCTCCACTGTGGAGCCTGCCCACCTGCCTGCTGTGAGCTCTGTGGTCAGATGAAGACACACACACACACACACACACACACACACACACACACACACACAAAATAAACTGCAAACAGATGAAAAAAAAATATATAAAAAAATACTAAAGTGTGGACAGAGGAACACCAAAACACTGAAAGATTTTTTACTTTTTTTTTTGCGCCATTTTCCCGTTCCTGATCAACTCCACTGTCACACCCCACACTATACTCCTGCCCACTTGTCAACCAATCAACATTCGGTAGTCGCATACATCATCTGCTTTAAGCGGCACGCAGTTAGGATCTTGGAGTGGTGCATGGCCGCACATCTCACATGGGTGAGAACCTCTCTCCCTTCTGTCTGACCAAAAAGTGTACGCAGATGAATATATTTACAAGGATAAACCCGTTTTAACGTATATCGTCTCCATTGGTCATGATCACACAGTTATTTCTATTTGCCCTCCATTAGGGTACAGGAAGCTGTTGAACAATAGGTATCGCCACTCAGACGATAGCACCACGATAGCATAAAAATGGCCTGTATTTATATAGCGCTTTACTAGTCCCCAAGGACCCAAAGCGCTTTGCACATCCAGTCATCCACACATTCACACACTGGTGATGGCAAGCTACATTGTAGCCACAGCCACCCTGGGGCGCACTGACAGAGGCGAGGCTGCCGGACACTGGCGCCACCGGGCCCTCTGACCACCACCAGTAGGCAACGGGTGAAGTGTCTTGCCCAAGGACACAACGACCTGAGACTGTCCAAGCCGGGGCTCGAACCGGCAACCTTCCGATTACAAGGTGAACTCCCAACTCTTGAGCGACGATCGCCCCGTAGCATAAGGGAGAAGTTGTTAAACTGCAAACAAGGACTTTGTTGAAAACTTTTTACAATGAACACTGTCCAAAGTCTCAAGTTTTCAAACTATTGCACAGCTCCTGTGCATCTCTGAGCTTCTGTACTTCAGTATCATTAAAATAGTAGTGAAAATCAACATGATCATACTACAGCGGCTGCAGTGCAACATGCTAGGTTACAAAACTCGAGAGGTGCACGACCACAAACACTGTGGGGCCACAGCGAGCATAAGAACAACATTACAGAGAGACTGTATCAGTTTAAATCATATAACTGATTATTTTAAAAGGAAAGATCTGGTGCATCAGAAAATCTCTGAACTTGAACTAACATATGGCACCTTAATACAGTTCTTTCTGCTTAAGGGAAGCTCTCTCTACTATATCAGTAAGAAACATTAATCACAATCTGAAGATAAATGCTTCAGATTATGTCTAAATAACTCAATAACAGCAGTACTCTGCAAAATTTAACACCATGGTTTCATATCCAACACACCAAAGCCTTCATTAAAATGCAGGCAAATTAGGCTCACGTGTCTCCTCCAAGTCTTACCGATCCCAAGATGTGTGTTGATGGAGGCATAGCGCGCTGTGCCCGTCAGGTTCTTGTTCTCCCGGTAAGGAATGTGCTGGTGTGTGCGGGCATCACGGTACTTCTTGGCCAGCCCAAAGTCAATGATGTACACCAAGTTGCCTTTCTTGCCGAGTCCCATCAGGAAGTTGTCAGGCTTTACATCTCGATGGATGAAGTTCTTGGAATGGATGTACTCAATGCGACTTATCTGGAGAGGAAAGGTGGGAGAGTGGTGAAACAATGTTAGCAGCACAAAAAGCCTCTAGGTAAAAACAAAGGTTACAATGGGACATGACAGGTCATCTTATATTTTACATCCCATGAGTTCAGCACTGCCCGTGTGGAGTTTCCCGACTCAGAAAAACAGTTATTGTCACATGACCATTTCTTTTCTGAGTATATACTATCAAAACACTATATAAATATGCAAAAACAAAAAGTTCTGGAATCCAAAAATTTCACAATTTGTGGTTGTTATGAATGTGTCATAACAACCAGCGTGAGACTGCATGTCACCTTCCGGCTGTCCTTTACACTTTATGACTTCCTGCCCAGCATATGCAATTAATATCTATTAACTGGAGCTACTGGTGTAAATGATCTCCACAACAGACTGAGCGTCACCACTTCCTGTGGAGTTTGTTTTTTGTTTTTTTGCTTTTTTAAAATCCCTGCAACCAGCAATGAAAGCTATGTAGACAAAATGTGTTCTCATCCCATCTAAAAAGCCAGCCATACCCTTAGTGCCCTCAATACATCTTGGCTTTCTCATTCCATTGATATGAAAACAAGGCAAAATGTGCCAGAGGATGTATAAAGAGAAGCTTCAGCTGGAACAAAAGGTGAGATCAGTTGTGCTTGAGAGAGAGCCACCAATAAAATCTAACATCTAGGCCAGCACAGTCTACAAAAAGGCCAATATTACAAAACACACATATCACAAAATTATCCCTGACTTTAACTGAAAGGTTCGTAGCATACCATCTGGTCAGCCAAAAGCAGGACAGTCTTTAGGCTGAATTTGCGGGAGCAAAAATTGAAGAGGTCCTCCAGACTAGGGCCGAGCAGCTCCATCACCATCACATTGTAGTCTCCCTCTGCGCCACACCACTTTATAGATGGAATGCCCACTAGTGAAGACACATCAAATCAGAACAAAGCCCCTGAATCGTGGCGCACACACTGCTGGTTGGACATTTATCGTCATCTTCACTTTACACATTTAGCAGATATCATAGGATTTGCATCTCCTATGCCGTCTTGGCCAATAAATTCAAGAAGGAATGTGTTGAAAAATCTTGACAAGCATGTCCAAGCTCTAATTTCTTACCTCCTCCTTGCATCATCTTGTAGAACTTGCTTTCAATGTGCAGCTGTGGGTGTTTGGTCTTCACACATTCCAGCTTGATGGCTACCTCCTCACCAGTGGCGATGTTGGCACCTGAAGAGACACGTGCAGAAATACCCACAGCAGTCAAGACAATTGCACCTTTGCATGTACGAGGACCAAAGACGAATGAGCATAAAGGAAAATCTGAGTTCAGTGCCCGGATAAAGGAGGAAAAAGAAAAAGAAAAAAAAGGAATGGCACAGTTTGAAAAGAGAGGCTCTCCACACACTAATGTGGAAAGAACCTCACCGGGCAGAAAGCTGGGTAAAGAGTTTAAGAACTGGAGAAAAAAAAAAGAAAAAAGAAAGTGGATGCTTCAACTTACCGAGGTAAATGTCTCCAAAAGAACCACTCCCTATCTTTCGCCCGAGCCGGTACTTGTTCCCAACTCTCAGCTCCATGCTTCCAACTTGTCACTGTCACAGTGGGAAAACACAGATATTAAAATAAAGCAACAAACATACAAACTGAGCATCATCGCTCCTCTTTCACCACTTCAGCTATAATCATGACCATTTCCTGAACTTTCCCCTAAAGGCAGAAAGAGGGAATTTATCCTCAAGGGTCAGTCAACTGCTCACATGATGTGTACCAATCCCTCAGCACTCAAGTGTTCACATGTTTTTGAGACAGAATGTGGCCCAAACAGGGCCACTTGATCAGCAAACAGCTGTCTGGTGCCCAGAAATACAAGATCAGATTTGTAGGGCAGCTAGGGGTGAGAGAGAGGCGGCTGCAGTGAGATCAGCAAAAACATGGAAGGGAGGAGAAAGAAAAACAGGAAAAAAAAAAAGAGAGAGAGAGAGAGAGGCCATGCACAAATGCCAGTTTCCACTTGGAAGTGGAGTGAAACAGAATCAACGGACTTGGCACACACGAGAAAATGAAACAGCTTTTTTGGGGGGGGGTTTGTGTGCGTGTGTGTCGAGCTGATTTGCACGTGATGCCGGAGCAGGATCATCACTTATTTAGTGCTCGCTCCACCACGCCACATTGTGCAGCCATTGCAAAAGCAAGACTAAGCTCTCTGCCGTTCTGCGCTGGCACTGCCAAGCGAGTGGAGGCATGAGCAGCCAGGGAGCACTGACTGGCTTTATCTATGTCAAGGCCCTCACACAATTCTGTGTGATGAACTCCACAAAGCGCTGCACAGACTTTATCAGCATGGACATTTCTACTGTCGCCACCCTTTAACACTACTGCAACAAAACATCATATTACACTGACGCTCGTTTATAAAATGCTGTCGCTTTCGAGTTTCAACCCTCAACTTTCCAACCGAACGTTTGCAAAGCACAGAACGCCCTGCATCTTCTTCACCAATCCCTGTGTTGCATCTGCCATCTCAAGAACCTTTATAAAATCCCAACTTTAAATGACTCCACATATTAGTTTTGCTGGAATGCAGACACAAGCTCTAAAAAACACCCAGGAATCACCATCATGGATCAACTGAACCTTGCTTTTCATCAGCAGCAACTGCATCACAAAGGCCGTACATATCCTGATGAACTCTACCTGATGAGGACAGCCTGCTAGGAGATGTGATAGAGGCAGATGGATCTGGGTCATTAAAGAGTGAGAGTTCATGTCTCATGTGCTGCAGCCAGGTCTCCCGATTTAGGGAGGAACACTAACACAAGGTTACACCTAAAGGGTACAACGAAAGTGCCAATGGTTAATTACTTCATATAGGAACAGTGGCACAAGACGCTAAATATAAGACTCTACCCATATTATTTGAGATATTTTCTCATGAGCTACTAAAAGACTAAGACAGACTTTAGTACAGCAAATGCAGTTATTGCAGTAACGTGAAGAGTCTGTGATTTGAGGTTTAGCCTGTCACACTGCACTGGAAAAAACACCATGTGCTATTACGGTAGTAATCGTCTACACGAGAGTGGATTGGTTAAGATGGTACAGTACACATCTGCTGGTTGGGGGGAGTCTTAGTGGTGACTGCTGAGACAGGATGTCCTGAGGATGTTGTACACTGTGGTTGAAAAATCACACACACAGACAATATATCACTAAAATGACCTCAATCTGAAGTTAAATTATCGTGCGTTTTCCGTACATGTAATCGTTTAGATGGATGTTTAAAAAAGTGCTATACTTGGAAATGATTATCGCTCTTTTAAAACAAACAAAACAAGTACTGTAACAGAGCCAAAAGATTTCACAATCACACGAAGAACAGAGCTAACGTTATGCCTCTCGCACACGGACAGCTGTCACTACTACACAAACAACTCGCGTGTTACAGACTCCACGCTGAATGCGTGTGTTAATATCGCCTAAAGTTGCAACACAAATGTATGTTGTTGTTGTTTTTTTTATAACGGCAACGCTACATTTCTCTTTCCTGTTTGCAATTTGACAAGTAGCAAGCCAGTGGCGAATAGGCAAGAGCAACAAATCTGCCGTAGTTTCAGTTACGTTTTTTTTTAAATTGCTAAGATTTACTGAGTATTTACTATGTGTTTATTGAGTGTTTCTGTATAATTTGAGGACGTTTCTTGTAACGTTAGTGAAAAACATCAGCGCTAAGCTGCTACGTTAGTTAAGAGTTAGCTGCTAAGAGTAAGCTAGGATAAATACGTAAACGGAACCGTGATACGCGTAGCCCCGTTAATACTGTAAAAAATAAAATAAAGAAAGCTAATAATATTTAATATTATACTTCGTCACATTTTATATTATAACCGCACCCATGTATGTCACTGGACAAGCCTGTGCAGATCCCTACTACGCGCCCCCTCCCCCTCTCTTGGAAGCCGTGAATAGGAGCGTCTGATTCGGCCGAATCTGGCCCCTTTTCCCCCTTGGTTTCTCCGGTTCCCTGACCCAGCACTCACCCGATATTAGGTTCGTCCGAGAGCTGGGTTGGTGAAGGTTCTGATCCGATGGTTGTCAGTCGAACAAGAGCCCGGGTAGTGGAGGATGGAAGCGGATTCTGGTGGCTCTCATACCCCCAGCTCTTAGCTCAGTCGTCGACTGCACTCCCTGTTAATAGTCCCTGAGATGCTCCGGCAGTACGACGGCCGTTCTCCGCTCGAGTCTGTCTCCCCCTCTCGTTATTTAACGACGTGCGTGTTCACAGCGCAATGATGTCATTCCCTGAATGTCAGTGCACTGCCATTAAAGGAAAACGCCACATATAACGACTCCTATATCTGCAAATTTACCATTCACGAATAACTATCCAATACCATTATTACTGTCATTCGTTTTTAGTGTAAATAGTCAAGTGTGTGCATACTCCTGCATTAATAATGAGATAATTATGTAGTACTACTACTAAGTATGCAAGAGTTTTTTTTTTTTTTTTTAAATCCCTGGATAAACTATGTCCCTGCACAGTTTTTCACTTTGCCATTATTCTTGTTCCTACCTTCCATGTGTTAAAATCTGATGCCAAAGGGCGTTTCTTGAATCCAATCATTTTCAATTCAGTTTTATTTATATAGCACCAAATCACCAGTTGCCTCAAGGAACCTTGTATTGTAAGGTAAAGAACCTAAAATAATACAGAGAAAACTCAACAGTCAGACTTTAGCGCAAGCGCTTGGTGACAATTTTAACAGGAAGAAACCTCCAGGCTCCAGCAGAACCAGGCTCAGGGAGGGGTCAGCTAGGACCAGTTGGGAAAGAGAGAGAGAGTGAGCTCATCCTACATACAGTCCTAATCAAAAGTTTAAGACCACTTGAAAAATGGCAAAAAAAAATCTAATTTTGCATGGTGGGATCTTAACAAGGTTCCAAGTAGAGCTTCAACATGCAACAAGAAGAATTGGAGAAGAGACAAAAAAAAATTTTGAGCATGCAATTTATTGAAAACAACCCTTAAATGGAAACAGGCTGCTTTACAGCTGATCTTTAGGACCACACCACCAAAAAAACCTGTAAACCCTTCCAAAACAGAAATCAAGTTCCCTACATGAGCTCAGTAATGAGTAGCTCCACTGTTATTGTTGATCACTTCAAAAATTTGTTGCAGCATGCTTGATGCAAGCATTTCCATGAAGTGAGTGGGAACATTTCTGCAAGTGGTGAAGATGGCCACAGGAAGATGGTCTGGAACTGTTGTACACTTTTGTAAACTTCCCTTGCAATTGATCTGAAAAGGTTCTCAATTGGATTTAGATCAGGCGATCACGCAGGATGGTCCAAAAGAGTGATGTTATTCTCCTGGAAGAAGTCCCTCGTCCTGCAGGCATTGTATACTGTAGCATTGTCCTGTTGAAAAACCCAGTCATTACCACACAGACGAGGGCCCTTAGTCATGAGGAATGCTCTCTGCAACATCTGGACATAGCCAGTGGCTGTTTGACGTAGTAGGCCGTTTTGAGTAGTGGGATCTACTTGTCATGCCAGTAACGTTGGAAACAATCAGGGCCATCAAGGTTACATTTTTTCTCATCAGAGAATAAAGCTTTCTTCCACCTTTCAATGTCCCATGTTTGGTGCTCTCTTGAAAAGTCCAAACAGTAAGTTCTGTGGCGTTCAAGGAGACAAGGCCATTGAAGACGTTTTTTGTTTTTGAAGCCCTTCAGTGTCAGATGCCATCCGATGGTTAAGGGGCTGCAGTCGGCACCAGTAACGGCCTTAATTTGGGTAGAAGATCGGCCTATGTCTTCACGGACAGCCAATTGGATTCTCCAGCTCAGTGCTGGTGAAATTTTTGGGGGTCTTCCACTTGAGTTTTTTGTTCCATAACCCTCAAGATCATTTAAGAAATTCCAATGACTGTCTTACTGCGTCCCACCTCAGCAGCGATGGTGTGCTGCGAGAGACCCCGTTTATGAGGTTCAACAACCCAACCACGTTTAAAAAGGGAAATATTTTGCCTTTTCTGTCAGATTGTCATGACAGTGTGACTATCTGACAGAAAATTACAATGAAGCCACATGTTTGCACAGATTTGTCTCTTTAAAGGCATGTGGTCTTAAACTTTTGATCAGCTGTAATCAGTCCATTTCAGTTTCAGTGTTGTTTTCAATAAATTGCATGCTCAAAACAATGTTTTGTCTCACTCCCAATTCTTCTTGTTGCATGTTGAAGCTCTACTTGGAACCTTGTTAAGATCCAACCATGCAAAACATGATTTGTTTTGGCCATTTTTCCAAGTAGTCTTAAATTTTGATCGGGACTATATGCAAGGGCACTTGAAAATTATATCAAGCCATAAAATTTAAGGTGTATAATAAAGGTTACATGGACAATCTCATACAGGTTTAACACAGGATGAACCCATAAAGGTTATCAGTGTGGGTAAATAATTTCATTCAGTAAGCACTGGCTTACCAGAGACTGACGCAAGTGTTAAATAGGATTGGTTTGTCAATAGTGATGAGAGGGTGACTGACATGTGGTCCAGTCCATACACCTTTTTTCTTTAGTCATGATCACCTGCTGAGCCAAGTGTGGATTACAGCAGACAGACACCTGAATTCACACACACAAATGACATAACAAAGAAGAAGAACAAGTTTAGAAGCCAATACTTTCATCTTTATTAATCTTGTTCTCATTTTGTTTAAATAAATTTTTATTTTTTTTTTATTTGTAAAATCTCAAAACGAAAACACTGAACAGGAGTGTTAAAGCCTGTCTTAATTTAAAACGAATACACAACAACAGAACATTAAAAACGTACGGTAACGCTTACTCTGCATCTGTAAACAACCCATCCCACCCCTCCCTCCCGCTCTACACAGTTTGATAAGATTTTGGCATGTCCATTTTTTTTTCTCGACGCGTATGCCTTCAGCTCTTTGTGTCATCAAAATGTTCTTTTTTTTATTATTGCAGGTCGGACAATAAAAAAAGACAAGTCTGCTTTTAAAAAAAAAGAAAAAACAACTTCAAATGAGAGAGAAAAGCATTAGTGCGAATATTTCTTAACACACAGTCAGCAGTATACTGAATGCACTCAAAAACATTTTTGTATAGACCTTCTGTATAAGTAAGCAGCCTTGCCCACATTATGACAGGCATTAACATGCACACACATCATCCTCACATTCACGCACACGCGCACTCACGCATGACAACTGCGGTGGTTTAATCCACTTACTTGGTCTCAGTCTCACTCACGCTCAGTGTGTACGACACTACGCGTGCACACAGTATCAACACATGGAGAAATGCATCATAGCCTCAAACTGCCTGCAATTTAACATTTATCACTGCAACAGTAACAACCATGTTCAAGAGAGAATAACAGAGAAAAAGAGTGCGTGAGATACAACAGTAGGAGGTCAGCATTTTGAAAACAGAACAATGACATTTTTCAGTATTTTCACTGTTTAAAAATTAAAACCATACAAACAAAAACAAAACAGAAAACAAACTTAACATACACAGTAAGATACAGTTCTGCTGTCAATCAGAGCTGTTTGCATGTGTTTGGATTCGATCTCCATCTTTAAGGGGATGTGAATACAAACTGCACTTTAAACCTCACATCATGTAGTAGTTTTAAGTTCTCTTTTACGATGAAGGTAATGCTGTTTACAGTGCCTATCTGTCTGAAGGCTTCTCTGTATTTGGTGTGTGCATGTGTATGTAAATCTGCTGAAAAGTCACCTATTTACTAAGCACATTGCAATCCAGTCAAGTCTTTCAGACCAACTGACTTTTCATTCTTTTTTTTTTTTTTTCAGGATTCAAGTCTAAGCAGTTGAAATCTTCATCTGTGGAAAAAAGGCTGTATACACATCTAACAGTCCCTGCATTTGTTTTATATAATAGCTTAAGTCTGGCCACGAGAATGTGTGTAAGCATGTCTCACATTTCTGCTTTGTGTGTGCACATAAATTTGCATACTACGTATACGTATGCACACGTGTGTATATGTGTAGTACATTTATATGCATACCATGTAATGCGTGTGTGTGTGTGTGTGTGTGTGTGTGTGTGTGTGTGTGTGTGTGTGTGTGTATATATGTGTGTGTGTGTGTGTGTGTGTGTGTGTATATATGTGTGTGCGTGTGCCATAGTAAGTACATATGAATCCCAGTGTATGCTGTATCAGTGTGTCCAAACCTACACGTACAAATGGAAGCAGGGGGGGGGGGGAATCCTCAGATGGAATCGGTTCCTCCCCCCAGCAGGTCGCCAGGCAACAATCCAGCAGGGCTGTCCATTTGGTGCCTTTCCTCCATCTGCGGTGCCCCCCACAGGCTGCTGCTGGGGTATCCTGCAGTCATGCCTCCCCAAAGCCCAGACCTCCCAGACTCTACTCCCCCGACGCCTCCTCCCTCCCCAGCCCCGTTGGTGCTCCACTGGGAAAATATCCCCAGCCCGGGTCCTTGGGCTGAGGAGCTCTCTGAAGAACTACCTGTACCATCAAGACTCTGCCAGCCAGAGCCAGAGGACCTAACTCCAGCTAGAACTGCTGCTCCACTCTCTCCTCCACTGCCATTTCCGTTTCCACCTGAAGTTGCCCCCACAGCTGCCCGCTCGCTCCCCGGAGAACTTCCTCCACTGCTGGCCACCACAGTTGTGCCTGTTCCGGATGAACCCTGTGCCCCACCGGTCGCTGCCCCTCCTGAGCTGGCTCCCTCTGCCCCTCCGGCCTGGGAATGTGCAACATAGCGAGCAACTTCTTCTTCGCTCACAAACTCCGCCAGGATCGTGGTGTTGCCCAGGACACACCTGTTTAAGAAAGTTATAAGACAAGGTTCTTCAGGTCAGTATGTGCAGAATTACCGTTTGCTTCACGCGGAGCAGTGAGGGTATAGGTAAACTTACATGTGCAGTGCACCCTGGGCCTTGGCTGCTTCCTGCCGGGTGCTGTAACGAATCAGAGCGGTGCCCTGGGTCAGGCCAAGGTGGAAGGTCAGCAGGGGGCCATGCTGCATACAGATAGTCCTCAGCGTGGAGCCATCAATCTACAGGGAAGAGGGAATAATTGTATAGATACCGTATAGGATTAGACTCTGGAGGGTGTTTGTCATATTTAGAAGGACAAATTTTGGTGGAAAATCCGTTACTGTGAAGAGACTCTTGATTTCTGAGGAACCCAAACATAACGCAAGACTTTGATTAGAAAAGATTACTGATAGTCACTTTGTT